ACACACACACACACACACACACACACACACACGCGCAGACACACACAAAAATCATCAACCACCTGTCACATTTACCATTTTTATTATATTTCATTTTTTATTTGATTTATTTTGGGGTTTTATATATTTATTTTTTATTTTAGTATTTTATTTTATTATATGTTCATTTTAGTTTGTATGTAGTTATTTATTCATTCATTTATTCTGTACATCAGACTTTGAAAGCATGATGAGAATTTACTGATCTAATCTGAATAAAGAATTTGATGCGCAGTGGATTTACCAAACCTAAATTAAAATGAATAAAATGTAAAAACCACACTTAATATGATTAAACAACTATAAAACAATAAATAATTAATGTATTGCAGGTGCAACTTTTATTATAGCACTATTCATATGTGACCCTGGAGCACAAAACCAGTCATACGGGTCAACTCTTTAAAATAAGCTTTCCATTGATGTATGGTTTGTTCCCCACTGTATATATAAAGAACAGTATGCAAACACTGAGCTATATTAACATCTTACAGTACAAACATCCTTTTATGACCGTAATTTTAGTTAGAATTTATATACAGTACTAAACGATGTAAGAAATATTGTCTAAATGTTTACATTTTCACCACGCGCTCACCCAAATCCTCATGTTTAGTGAATAGAGTTACGCTTAGCCCAACACCTTCAAGATCAACATTCGTAACGAAATAATAATCCCAAAATCAATCAGTCAGGTGTAAAAGCCCTCATTGTTTAAAATCCTACATTATGAATTAAACACACTCTTGATAACAGTGACCAACTTTGGTGCATTTTCCGCATCCATAACATACTCCCCACATGTGTAACTCCATGCACACGCGTGTGACTGACCTGTGGTGTCGATGACGTATCCGCCGGCCTCTCTGATGATGACGGCGGCCGCTGCGATGTCCCAGCAGTGCAGACCGTACTGATAATAGGCCTCCGCTGCGCCGCTGGCGATGTGACAGAGCGCTAGCGTCGAGCTGCCGATGATCCTCACACTGCGGGTCAAAGGTGAAATCCTGACCTCTACATACAGTAACACACTGACGATACGAGCCACATCGCTCGCTCCTTATATCACAGCATACACATTTACGGTGCACACAAGTGGATGAGACGAGGGTTTTTCAGACGTACCCATGAGTAGGTGCGCTCAACATTTTCTTCATATTTCCTAAAAAGACAGTGTTGCAGGGTCTCTCTTCGCGCCGATCTCTGTGAGAATGAGGGCCTTCGACACATCTGACATAGAAAACACGTCACATTTAATTATTAAGGAACACTGCGGGTCAAAGGTGAAATCCTGACCTCTACATACAGTAACACACTGACGATACGAGCCACATCGCTCGCTCCTTATATCACAGCATACACATTTACGGTGCACACAAGTGGATGAGACGAGGGTTTTTCAGACGTACCCATGAGTAGGTGCGCTCAACATTTTCTTCATATTTCCTAAAAAGATATCCAGTGTTGCAGGGTCTCTCTTCGCGCCGATCTCTGTGAGAATGAGGGCCTTCGACACATCTGACATAGAAAACACATCACATTTAATTATTAAGGAATGAAAGTGCGCACTAGACCAGTCTGAAATTTTTTTTTGTATGGTGTGGACTTTAAATATTAAAGATAAAACAGGTAAATCAACAGATTAAATCCATAAAGATATTATTTAAATACACTACCACTCAATCGTTTAAGGGTTTGATACTTTTATTCAGCAAGGACACATTAGATTGTTTAAAAGTGTCTGTAAAAGCATTTACAATGTTTCGGTTTCAAATAAACGCTGTTCTTTTGAACTTTCTGTTCATCTGTGAATCCTGAAAAATAAAATATATCACGGTTTCCACAGAAATATTGCGCATCACGACTGTGTTCAACATTGATAATAATCAGAAATGTTTCTCGAGCAGCAGATCAGCATATTATTCTGATTTCTGAAGATCATGTGACACTGAAGACTGGAGGAATGATGCTGAAAATACAGCTGTGCATCACAGAAATACATTACAGTTTAACAGAGATTCACATAGAAAACAGCTGTTTTAAATTGTAATAATATTTCACAATTTTACTGTTTTTACTGTATTTTTAATCAAATAAATGCAGCCTTGGTGAGCAGAAGAGACTTCTTTCAAAAACATTTAAAAAATCTACCTTTTGAACGGTAGTGGACTGACCAATCAGCAAACAGGACTGTAACTATTCATTTGTAACTTTAAACAGTTTTAGTATGCCATTATAAATCATAAATGTGCTTACTATTAATTGCAAAATAAGAGATTAAAACATGCAGTAAAACACGCTGACCTTTTTCTTTCGAAACCTGTAGTCGCACACCGTTGCAAAAGGCTCCGTGTCCTTTCCTCGCCGTATACAGCGTCCCGTCAAAACAGTGGTAGATGACGCCGAGCTCCAGCTGAGGGGCAGAAATCTTCTGATTATTGAACAGAAACACATGACATCAGTGACAGCACCCGTAATTCTGGCCCTGCACAGCTTTATCAGTGTTTACCTCTTTCTTTACGGCAAATCCGATGCTCACTGCCACCATAGGGAAACTGAGAATAAAGAGTGTGTGTTGGGAACTCAAGAATATATTTATATGATGATTTAAACACAGTATATGGTGGTTATGGTACCTGTGCACAAAGTTACACGTCCCGTCGATGGGATCGATTATCCACGTAGGGTCGTCTCTCAGTTCACACTTCACACCAGCAGCAGACGATTCCTCACCGATAAACCTGAGATTATAATCAACAGCTGACACAGAGGACATCTCAATCATACGAGCAGTTATTACAGAAAAAAGATGAATCATTAAACACTTTACAGTAACTCTGTAGTGCCCTTTTATGGAAAGGAAAGCAGGTTGATATGGCTGATTTTATGAAAGTAATCTTTGTAAAACACTTCTGAGGCGGTACAGCGATGCTGTTAGATCTTAATACTGAATTATTATCATATTAATATAACCATGATGTTTACACTGTACTTTAAAATACCACAGTAGACATCAGTGAACATGTTTAGATCTGCTGTAGGTCACATGAGGACGGATGGAGTGAGACTTGTTTCTCAACATGTGAGCAGTGATCTTGTCTGTAAGTGTCCGCAAGTGTTTGTGTGTGTGTGAGGGGTATTTGTGTGTGTGTGTGAAAGGGGTATTTGTGTGTGTGTGAGGGGGTATTTGTGTATGTGTGAGAGGTATTTGTGTGTGTGTGCGAAAGGGGTATTTGTGTGTGTGTGTGTGAGGTGTTTGTGCTTGAGGGGTATTTGTGTGTGTGTGAGGAGTATTTGTGTGTGAGGGGTATTTGTGTGTGTGTGTGCGAATGTGAGGGGTTTTTGTGTGTGTGTGAGGGGTATTTGTGTGTGTGTGAGAGGTATTTGTGTGTGTGTGAGAGGTATTTGTGTGTGTGTGCGAAAGGGGTATTTGTGCGTGTGTGTGAGGGGTATTTCTCCCTGAGCGTGGAGATGATGAGCTCCTCCACCTGATGGTCTGCCTCCGTCACCAGGTCTGTCGGAGTACTCTTGCTGCTCACTTGCTTCTCCTGCTTCACCGCCGACTGAACCGCCTGATGGAGAAAACACAGCCATGCTAACACATGGTAATACTATGGTATTTTCTGCTGCTAGTGCAGCGATACAGGGATTGTTTATATATATTAGGAACATTAGGATACATCAATGTACCATAGTCCAATATCTAGTGTTGTTATTGTTAAGTCTTAAAAATCATTACCATTAAATGAGATAAAGCTGAAATAAAATCAAATATAAATATTAGGTTATAATATTATGCTTAAACACATGGTAATACTATGGTATTTTCTGCTGCTAGTGCAGCGATACAGGGATTGTTTATATATATTAGGAACATTAGGATACATCAATGTACCATAGTCCAATATCTAGTGTTGTTATTGTTAACTCTTAAAAATCATTACCATTAAATGAGATAAAGCTGAAATAAAATCAAATATAAATATTAGGTTATAATATTATGCTTAAAAATAAATAAATAAATAAATAATGAAAATTAGAAATCTTGCCTTAGCAGCTAATTAAAATCAGTTTAATCTGACATACTAAAATTACAAACACTACAATAAAAATAAATTAAAGCTGTTAAAAAAGAACAAAAATGGCAAATAGACATATTAAAAATTATATAAAATATAAATACTAAATGAGAAACCTAAACAATAAAATTAAAAATGAGCAGCTAACTGAAATTTACTAAAAATAAATGAAAGCTACATATAAAAAACTAATAAAAATAACAAAAAAACACATAGCAAAATTACATAAAATATAAAAAGTATAAATAATAACGTCAAACATAATAATAAATATAAAAAATAAACAAAAATCTTGCCTTAGCCACTGAAATAAAATAAGTTTGCTTTGATGTAAAAACATTACCAAAACTAAAATACAAATAAATTGAAGCTATCTAGAAATGATTAAATAATAATAACAATAATAAAACATCCCAAAATGAGAAAATCTTAAACTAAAATGTAAAAAGCTCATTCAAAAAGTGAATGAACAAACACAATAGCAGATAAACAGTACTAAAATAAGACTGAACACAGTAGCTTGTGCAAGCATTGCTAGAAAAAGAGCATCGTGGAATTACTTTAGTGCATGTCCAAACTGTGATATTACCATATTACATTATTATAATCATATTATTAGACATTGTATACATTTTATAAAGTGGTTGTTATTATTTAAAGAGTTGCATTAATAAAATCAATATAATAAACCACAAAGAAAATCACAATAAATAGTTAACACAGTGCTAACAACACTGTAATGATAATAATAATAATAATACGCGTTGTCCTAATACGTTTCTACAAGATACATTGTAGTCCATCCTGGGCAAGATATGTAGCATCGTCAGATACTTCACTACAGCGGCACATCAACCCCGCGTTTGGACTATAATCAGTGCGGACTCATCGATAACAGATCTGATCAATCCTGCTGTCAGGATCGGAGTGGAGTAGCAGTCGTCGACACCAAACAGCGTTAGTTGTTAACAACGCTACATCGCGTGCTGTCGTGCTGCAGCGTTAGTTTGTAACAGAATGAGCCGGTTCACGTGTCGCGGTGCGTTACCTGTCCGGCCCTGAGCGCGATCTGCACGGCCACATCCAGACAGTGGCTCCAGTCCTCCATCACGAGGGGCTCCGGCTGACGTCCGGTTCCGTTCCGGCGGAGCGTGTTCACGGGGCGGCGATCACCGGAGCTGCTGAACTCAACACCGATGTTATGCGCTACTGATGCGGATGATAAGCCTGTTTAATACCGCTTATCTCATGGTTTACGTTTTTAAAGTTCTATAACCTTTAAAAACACCTCGGAGAGCAACAGTCCAGACAAACTTTTATTTACAGCATCAAGACAGCCACTTTGAAATTTGTTGCCATTAAAAATATTCTTCAAATCAATTTACAGTTATAACGCTAACATGAGTGGAATCTTTACTGAGAATGACAGCTCAACATACACATGGCTTTTTTAAACAAGACACGGAAATACTCTTAAAATAAAACTGGATTAATTTACATTTAATTCTGCTTGCCCTCATGTCGCAGAAAAACCAACAACATTCATTTTGTACAAACATGACAAAAGAAGAAATCGATCACAAGCTTGAGCCTTATCAAATATTTAAGCATGGCACCAGAAGAAATATCGAAAGAGAAAAAAAGAGTGCGAGAACCACAGCAAGGCTTCAGTAACTTAACCATGAAAGCATAAAGCAGCACAAACAGAAATAACAGAAAATGTGAAATGCAACAAAACCTGTTTGGCTTACAAGCTCAAATCATAAGCAGAGGAGAGAGAAGAGAAGGGCATTAGTGTGTGGATCAGTAGATGAACTCCTGCAGCGCAGAGAAGGGCTCCTCAAACTTGAAGCGTTTGGAGACGGCCTTCTGATCCGGGGTCAGGCTCTCTTTATCAGGTGAGTGAGTGAGTGAGTGGGTGAGTGAGTGAGTGAGTGAGTGTGTGTGAGTGTGTGTGTGAGTGAGTGAGTGAGTGAGTGAGTGAGTGAGTGAGTGAGTGAGTGTGTGTGTGAGTGAGTGAGTGTGTGTGTGAGAGTGTGTGTGAGAGTGTGTGTGAGATATATATTTAACAAACAAAAGCCAGTTTCGTTAAACTGTAATGTATTCCTGTGATGTGCAGCTGTATTTTCAGCATCATTACTCCAGTCTTCAGTGTCACATGATCTTCAGAAATCAGTATAATATGCTGATCTGCTGCTCGAGAAACATTTCTGATTATTATCAATGTTGAACACAGTCGTGCTGCACAATATCTCTGTGGAAACTGTGATGCATGTTTATATGAAACCTGTGTTTACTGTCAGTTGTTGGTCTTACTCTGGCTCTTTGATGAGCAGGGATTTGATGAAGTGGACGGCGGCTCCATCCAGATGCTCCAGCTCCTCCTCCGTGTAGCTGATGTTGATCTGAGAGATGTTGAGGAAGGTCTCCTGCTTATCGTCCCCCAGGAACGGCGAGATCCCCGTCAGCATCACGTACGCCAGGACACCGATGCTCCTGTCAGACAGAGGAGCCGCATGCTGAAGCTCACACAGCAGGTGACAAACAGACTTTTCTCAAAGCAGTATTGCTGATGATACAAGACTTTAGGGCACAATTGTTCTTGCATAATATATCCTAAACAACCAACACTCTGAACCAGCAACAGTGTGAGAGTTTTAACAGTGAACAAACTGTTTGTTTAGAGGAAATCACACAATCAGACTTGAGGCTAGATCTGAAACATGATCAAACTGACCAGAAAGCACCAGAGAAGTATTTATCGTGTAATAATGACCTTCAGGAGGACACGTGAGGTACTGTGGGAAAATAACTCACCACATGTCAGTCGCTGTGCTTATTGGCTCATAATTCAGGATTTCTGGTGCTGTAATGATACAATAAATCCGTTACATAAGTTCATTCCAGTGTGTCCAAACGTTTGACTGGCTGTGTATGTAAAGCATATCTGATCAGGGCCTAAAATGAACACTCGCCAAGCGCCAAACACAAGTAAAGATCAGTATGAAGAGTGAGAATGTGAGCTGAAACTCATTCTCCAGTCATCTGGTAATTTTTTTATTGATTACAACATTCCCTGAGTAGGTGATATAGTTTAGCATGCTTATCAAATTGCAAAGAAGGTGCTGTAATCATATGGAATCGGATGCGCTACGTTGTGATGTTTTCGCATGAGCCGCTCATGCTAACGGTTTTCAGCATCATGCAAAGCATGCAATGACTGGCAACTTTAACATCTGAAAGGATACTATGGCAAAGTTATCGCTTTCTTTATTCAAACTGATTTTTTTCATGAATATATGGTTGGCCTGAAGAATGAAAGCTGTATCATACACTTGGAAAATGATGAGCTATATCACCGCTTATCGACTCGAGGGGTGTGACAACACACTTAGCTCACGAGATGAGACGAAATACAGATACTAGCTTCACTAGAACGTAGGGATGTAACGATTACCGGTTTGACGATAAATCATGATAAAATTCCGACTCTGCAGTTGGATACTATTATGCATGTCTCGTGTTTATAAGAGCAAAACATTCTGATTGGCTAGTAATGTTAGTTTGGTTGAGAGTTGAAGCTGTGCTCCTCTCATACCATTGGCAGGCGAACTCATGGACTCGAAAGTGATATCAATCAACAAGATTCTTTTTTTTTTTTTCAAATGTAGGACTATTTTTTTCCGCAGCCAAACGCTGCACGCCGGAGATCCGGCACGGTGCCGGATAACTTTAAGCCCTGATATTAGCATTATAATTAATAATAATAATAATAATATAAATTACATTTATTATGAAACACTTTACATGTACACTTTACAAAAATATTTTAGTTATATTTCCTTATTGATTGATTTCCTTATTCATTATTTTTTTTAATTGATACAGTAAACAAACAAACAAACCTGTTTCCATGCTGTTTTCAACCAAAATAAAAGCTCTATGGTTTAATGTTTTAAATAAATATCAACAGTACAATTACAATACTAATATTTATTATTGTTTTTATTTATTTATTTGCTTTCAAACTTTAACCCATACAGCTTTTATTTTTGTATACAGTTCAATGGTATTATACTGATATTTCTTCAATCAATAATACGTTTCTTTTTAATTAAATAATGCACGAACGGTTTCTTGTTTCGGTAAAACATGTTTATAGCCACTAAACATTTTCTAGTCCCCAGCCATCGGCAGGTGTGTCATAATGTTATTTTTAGGCCCCGTGTATGATGTCTGAATCCGGTCTGGATTGGCTCTTACCCACGTACTCCGGAGTGCCCATGATCTCCCTGATCTCCTGACTGCTGCTCACCAGCCGCGACAGGCCGAAGTCCACCACCTTTATGTCCCCGAGAGGAGACTCGCTGGTCAGGAGGATATTCTGAGGCTGAAGGAGAAAACACTCTCAGTAAAACTGCCAAACAATAAAGAATACTGCTCACAGAAACCTATAATCATGACGGTGATATAATTATATGTTTGTAATTCTGCTACTATAATAACACACTTGTAGCTCTGGTGAATAAAGCAAATGTGACCCTGGAGCACAAAACTAGTCTTAAGTGTTAATTTTTCAAAATTGTGATTTATACATCATCTGAAAGCTGAATAAATAATCTTTCCCTCGATGTATGGTTTGTTAGGATCGGACAATATTTGAAAATCTGGAATCTGAGGGTGCAAAAAATCTAAATATTGAGAAAATCATCTTTAAAGTTGTTCAAATGAAGTTCTTAGCAATGCATATTACTAATCAAACATTAAGTGTTGATATATTTATGGTAGGACATTTACAAAATATCTTCATGGAACATGATCTTTACTTAATATCCTAATGATTTTTGGCATAAAAGAGAAATGTATAATTGTGACCCATACAATGTATTGTTGGCTATTGCTACAAATATCCCCCAGCGACTTAACACTGCTTTTGTGCTGCAGGGACACATATGTATTCAGCCCACAAAAACGTCCAGTCCATCAAACACTGCCCTCACGCCTTTAAAGACTTTTATTTGATTTGCAGCATTGCAGTATCAAGCAAGTGTGACTGGCGCTTTATCCTGACGTACTTTGAGGTCCAGATGCACCACGTTGTTCCCGTGAAGGAAGGACACTCCCTCCAGGATCTGCTTCATCAGCCTCTTCACGTCTTCCTCTTTGAAGGCCTCGTCTCTGTCTGCCACACACTGGTTAAAAATCTCCCCTCCGGCAGCACTGGACATGCAGAGAAATAAACATACATTCGTCTTAAAACATAAATGTTCAAGAAATGGCTCACCCAAAATGTCACTATTTACTCACGGTGATATTTTCATGTGAAACATAAAAGGAGAGTTTTTGAAGGATCTTTACGCAGCTCTTTTCCATGCAACTTTAGTTAATAGTGATTATTCAGATTCTGACTCGAGTTCTGTCCATTTGGGGTTAGAAAGATATCATTAAATTAACACTTTTATTCATCAAGGACGCATTAAAGTGATCAAAAGTGCCAGTAAAGACATTTATAATGTTACAGAAGATTTCTATTTCAAATAAATGCTGTTCTTCTGAACTTTCTGTTCATCTGTGAATCCTGAAAAATAAAATGCATCACAGTTTCCACAGAAATATTGTGCAGCACGACTGTGTTCAACATTGATAATAATCAGAAATGTTTCTCGAGCAGCAGATCAGCATATTATACTGATTTCTGAAGATCATGTGACACTGAAGACTGGAGGAATGATGCTGAAAATACAGCTGCGCATCACAGAAATACATTACACTTTAACAGAGATTCACATAGAACACAGCTGTTTTAAATTCTAATAATATTTCACGATTTTTACTGTATTTTTGATCAAATAAATGGTGAGCAGAAGAGACTTGTTTCAAAAACAAAAAATCTTTACCACACATTTTTCAAAACTTTTCATTTTATTTTTTTTAATTACTATAATTATTATTTTTATTATATTATTATTAATTTTTGATTCTTCAAAATATCATATCAGAGGAAAGCAAGAAATGCAGGCTTGGAACAACAAGGGAAAGTAAATGAGATATTTTATTGCATCAGTCTTTATAAAAAATGCAAATTTTCCCTTTTACACAACCGGATTTTCTTCTAAATACGCAAGCTTTTCAGTTCACCAAACCGTATCGGTGTTGTGTTTATCCTGAGTTCTAATGACAGCAAACGGAAGATCAGCTGTTT